CTAGCAGAGGAAGTGGGGGATTGGGCACACAACAAGGGCAAAATACAAGTCTTAATGATCCTGCTGCTAGTCATCATCAACAACAAACTCGAACAACTATTACAGCTCTAATGAGAAACGCTATTGAGCGTTTCAACGATTTCCAGGAGATGGGAATAAACATATATAATCGTATTAATGCACTCCTCGATGAGTTAAATTAGACAAACGAATATATTTCTAGATATCTCTTCTTCGTTCTCTCTCTATTCACGTTATTTTTCAGTATATTTGTGTATAAAGGCAACAAGCGAAAACATGCACAGAAAAGAAAAAAACACTGTTTCATATATTTCACACTATATAACGGAAAACAACACGTGAGAAAGAATAAAATTTCTTTTAAAAAGAAAAGAAACGATTTTTGTCGCAATTCTAATAAATAAAAAAAAAAATAAAAAGAATGTGACTGTTGAATGTGGATCGTAGTCGGGAGCCTTATTTTATTATAAATGTTAACTTCCATTCCTCATACCCCCACGCGGTAGCGAAATTGCCGCTTCCCTCGACCTTGTGCACTTTATTAATGAGAGTTGCTGTCAGTGAAAGATTGATATGGGCATATCTACTAGATATATATTTCAAATACTCAATCACATCCTGCTGTCTAATCATGGAGTTTCCGTGATATTTGTTCAGAAGCAATCGAAACTCATTTTCGTTTTTGCATACAATTTCGATTATCTTAAACTTGTCTGGCGCATCTTGACGATCTTTGCGGAAGTCTTCCCAATAATTCATTGCCCATGGAATGTGGCTGAAAAGCTGCGTACGCAACGAGCGGTGGTCGTAAGCTGTAAATATAATTGTATTATCCGCCTTATCTGTTGGAAATTGACATTTCATCATCACCGTTTTATCGTTGATTTCTTTTAAGAAACTATAAACCCCTATACCATATTTAACTATAGTGAATCCAATACCAAGTTCGGCCATAGTTTTGATCTTCGAATTCTAGAAATAGAACGGACTGTTTTAAATTATTTAAGTCACTCGTATGACGTTTTTTGGCAGTTTTTGCTTGCCCAAGAATTTGCTGTCATATAGATTATGACTCAATGAATTTCACAATGTTTATTCACGCAATCAGAACGGTGTTCTTGTCTATCCGCTAGCGCATTACTCTCTCTCTCCTTAATAGGTTGTCCAATCACCCTAATATGGGATACCAGAACGCGACCCAGTACCCGAAAGAAACAGATAAACAAACAGGACTTCTTTCCAAGATTGCAACTGAAAGAATGGTGACTACTCCATGCGATAGATCACAAACGCATAGAAAAGAAACGAGTCTCGACTGGTAACTAGCCAGTACTTTAACCAGTGATCTATCGAGATACGGCTTCAAACCACGTTCAATTCGATATGAATGTTTGCAATCGACCGAGTATAAAGCAAACAACTCTCTACAAAATGGATATAACGCATTTTCAAAACACCGTTTTATAGGAGCATCCAAATTTACGAAAATAGATACGTCTTCGACGAGAAACACAAAAACGTTCAATTTTTCATGAAAATTAGGTGCTATTATTTTTGTGAACGGACGTGTTTTCTCCTATTGACTATCTACTACTCCAGTTTTTCTTAACGGCGAAATATTATTCGTTGTTTTTGAGCCTTATACTGCTCTATTTGTTCTGTTTTTTGCACTGGATAGCGCTTAGTTACTATACAATACGGGGGATAATTTTCGTGTCACTTCGTTCGTTAATCGGATCTATTCGTACGTTTTATTAATTAGTTTCAACTGAGTCATATATCCATAGTTTATTTACGTTGTCCTACTGGTCATCTCTCATCGTATCATCTCTCAACTTCAGTCCTTACCAATGTCACATTTGATCATTCGTATGTATTTGAATTCTCTCACAAAATCATTCGATGATTTACCACACTTAACCAATGATCAATATATGATGCCGATAGAAAAATTATCACATCAGATTGATAACTTTTCACATGAATCGTCAATGGACAGTTCATCGAGTTCAGAAGATGTCCCTGTCAGCCGGGATCAATCAAAACAGATAGTAAAGATGATACTTGAACAACATGATCTTCTGGTTAAAACACTCTGTTCTCAACACGTTCCTGTCTCTCCTGCCAATGTGTGTTCACCTCAGTCGGCGCTGCCACAACAAATGTCGAGTCAAACCTCATCGTTGGCAGATAGTCACATTGGATCGAGTCATATTATAACACTTTGTCATCGACACCGGTTCAACAGAGGGAAATTACGACTTCTCCTCTTAAGAAAGCAAAACAATTTGAATTAGTGACAATAGCTGGATCGAGCATTACTCGAGGTCCTGGTAATGGGACAATCGATTTTTCGAATAAGTCATTTCGATATCATGTTCACACGAAAAATGGTGTTGGGATGGAGAGAATGACTGAGTTTTTCAATGAAAAACACTTCAAACCGTCACCTCGCTTCATTGTTTGTGTTGATATGACCAATTTGAAATATGATAAACCGAGTGATGCCCGTGATAAAACAGAACTTTTGATCACGACATTTAAAAACTTGTATCCAAATTCGAAATTAGCTTTAACCACTCTATCTCCAATGAATATTTGTGGCCTGAAAGCCTCAGTTGAAGCTCTAAGCGAGGATATAAGAGAATACAACAGCAAATTAGTATCTCTAACTATTAGTATGAGTGTCGACTTGATACCGATTGATTATGATAAGCGTGATATGATATCTGGCGATGGTTATCACTTGAGCGATTCAGGTACTTTCAGACTAAGTAGTTCAATGGATGATTACTTAAAGAACAGCCTTTAGCCTTGTTGTAGCCAATAATGACAGTTTCAACTCTGCTTTGTCTCTGTGTAATCTATTTCCTTTCTCTCTTACTAACGCTTTCTCTAACAATTTGTTTCAAACTCTGACAGCTAATGTGAATGATGAAGCTGACTGTAAACTTCCTTCATTTCCTTTCTTCTCTCGTATGCCGAAGCATATCAGTGCGAAAGGTTTTTCTATTTTCAATCATAATATTCAGGGTCTTCGTAAGCATATTGCTTCTTTACGCTTATTCGCATCTGAACATCAGCACCTTTCTATCCTGTGTATACAAGAAACATGGTTGTCTAACATTATACCTGATAACGAACTTCAAATTTCTGACTTTTCATTCTATCGCTTAGATCGACCAACTTTCTTTGGGGGCGTAGCTGTGTACATTCGAAACTCTCTCCCTCATTCTTTGTTAGCAAACGACTGTCAACTCGAAACTCAGCTATTTTCTATCCGTATTTCTGATTCTCTGTTATGCTTATGCAACTCGTATCGTTCAGAAGCTCAAAATCCTAATCCTAATAGCTATTTTGAAAACCTAGAACTATTTCTCTTTTCTAATCTTCCTCAAAATCACGAGAATCTCATTCTAACTGATGATTAGAACTCTACGCCAGCAGTTATCAGTCTCAATTGCAGTTTTCTTTAAAAAAGCATCGAAATTTTTCTTTTAGTTTAATACGTCAATTCATACGTCAAAAAAATAAAGCGTTCAACCAGATCAACTCCAAATATTCATTCATATAAAACTGTAAGCAAAAGACTTATTTCGCCTCTTCAAGGTCAAATAAAGCAACATGTTTGTACACTGGAAAATGCTGGTCATTATTTGGTACGCACTAGATAAATCTGGAAATGGAAAAGATGTATACACACCTTCTATCTTCATTCGTTTAGTTGTTCTCTATCAAAAGACTCACCATGTTCATGCCCTGTCGACTATTCTTTTTGTAAAAATTCTACACGAGTAGAATTTCATCGAATGTATTCGTCAATCGTTGCTACGATTTTTTAACGTGTATTCCTTTGTAGTAGTTTAATTATAACGTCAATAGTATTGGAGTCGATTTCGAAATAATTTTTCTTTATTATTATCTAGTAAAGAGTTTTATGACGCAAAACAAACTTAGTCAGCGGAGATTTCAACTTTACCAAATAGACTACAAAATGGAATTATCAGAGAATCAGAATGTTATGTACATGAGAAATTAATACCATTGACAAATAAGGAAGGTTTTTTCCATGTTTATTTATATTCTACATATCACCGGATCGAAAAATTTTAAAAGCCTGGTCGGTCAAAACCGACTGTAGATTCGTCTTCTCCATGGTTGATTATGTGGTACGCGATAACTTCTGGATCGGGGTACTTTAGAAAAATTTTTCGACATCGTTGTGCCTTTGGTCCCATACGGTAACTTTCTGAAAATATTTTGAGCAAGACTATGGAAAATTTTTTTTCTAAAGTACCGCCGATCCAAAAGTTATTGCGTAACACATAATCAACCATGGAGAAGACGAATCTGCAATCGATTTTGACCGAACAAGCTTTTCAAATTTTTCGATCCGGTGATATGTTCCCGTACAACTGACGGGAATTAGTATGATTATTATTGAAAAGTATATACTGAACAATTGTGTTCTGAATCGTGTCAATTTTGCATGTTAATATTTAAAATAATTCAAATAAAATTGAATATTACAAATGCCATTTATCATCTCCAAATGAATTCGCTAATTCTCTTTCAATAGACCAATAACAAATCGATTATTTTTATAATAATACACATAATAGTACATATGCTAATGATATTTTGTGCATTACGTATTGGCACAACTAAATTTATTGAAATTATACAAATATTTTTGTTTGGCATAAACTGGGATATTGGACTTCCATTAAAAGAAAACGCTTTAATGAAAGCTTTTTTAATGAACGTCACTCAGTTGCACAAACTATCGTCGAAATTAATTGTCTATTTAATGAAAATTCATCAATGTATTCTTAGGTTTTGTTCATCCAAGACATATGAATTTTATTTAATCATTGGTTTATTTGTTTCAGTACCTATCTAAGTTTATCGTTGGATTAATTATATGAAATACATAACAGAATATATAACGTCAATATTACTTACCAATTTACTGTTTCATGGCATACTTATCAAATGAGACTACTAGTGGATCGAAATGAGCATATTTTCTTCACGTCAACAAATTTTTTAATCACCTACAGAAGCGCCTTTGATTATTTCTTTGTTCTTTTCGATTTTTGAAACCGAACATCAGTCTTCACCTCTCATATCCTCAACTCTTTATATTTTAACACAAATATCCACAATTCATTTCACCAGACATCGTTCTGTTTTTTATAAATGTTTTTGTACTATTAACAACGGTCTCGGTCAGCATTAATAATTTCATTATAATTCCACTTTCAGATGTATATTTTGCTAATAAACAACAACAACAATAACATTTATGGCTTCTAATGGATTTTTAGCATTATTTATTCATTTGCAACAAGATTCATTTAAATATTCATAAAAAAATTATGTATTTTAATGTTACAAAAATTAAAGAAGAAAAATCTACCGCTTCTTGTCGCTATGGGTCTTTGAAAGGTGTTTATATCCATTACTTGTCACTTGAATCGAATCGTCTCCGAAAATGCAACTACCACCTAAAAAGACAAGTTTTTGTGTAAAACAATGCATCCGATGACGGGAATGTTGAACAGCTACACGAAAACGGTATAAGTTATTTAGAATATTCACCATCGAGTCCAGAGTAATGCACTCTGCCTAAAACTGTATGTATTTTCACAGTGCAATATAAATATGGAATTGTACAACGACTAATAAACAATTTATCACATGTTTGTTGATCTATTTTATCTTTTAATAACTGTTTTAATATGTTGTTCATTTTGTTTTCATTCTGTTATTTCATAGTTTTTAT